TCCAGAGCCCTTCCGTTTTACCTTCCCTCCTTCACGTCTATAGCTTTACGCGAGGACATTCTCCGGGTCCCTGGGGGGATGCTCCGATCTGACCGAGCAGCGGTTCTAGAAGATAAACTCTCTCACAGCGCTGGAGGTGGGAGGGTGGAGGTCAGCAGGGGATTCCCGCTGCGCAAGTGGGAAGGAGGAAAGAGTTTACAAACCGGCAGAAGTTCCGTTACATCCTGTGTGAGGCGAGAAGGCTCGCCCATCACAGCTGCAGCCGGGCATCTGCCCACTTTCTGCCCGCTCTCGTGCAGGTTCGGTTCCCGCCCCCACAATCGCCAGGGGTCCAGCTGCCCCAGCGCGGCGGTCTGCCAGTCTGGGAGGTAACTGCCAAGCTGGGATCCGGGTGCGGAGGTGCGCGCGGAGCACCGAGTTCAGACTGAGGTCCGGGGGTCCCCACCGACCACCTTCGCAACCTCTGTGCCCAGCCAAAGAGGTCTTGCCCTGAGAACCAAATGGATTTTTCTTCCATTTCCTTTGCATCCCTGCATGTCTTCACCCTGGCTCCCGGTGCCTTCCCCATTCGATCAACGTTGTGCGAACAGAAGCTAATTGCCCAGGTCCAGCACCCTGGAAGACCGGGGGTGGAGGGCGCTGGGGCTTGATAACCCTTCCCCAGGCGCGGGCTGTTAGAAATCAGCATCCTGATTACTGCCCCCGCTCCAGGGGACGCAGGGGGTACGTTTCTGTACAGCCCTGGTGGGGGAGGGAGGGGAGCATGCCCACGTGCCGGAGTCCAGAACCCCGCTCCCCAAAGCTCGGCCCCACACCTTGCAACCCGACCTGGCCGGAGACAGGTTGGAGCCGGCTGTACCCGAGAGCGTGAGTGAGGATGCAGAGAGCGGGGGGCAGGGTTAGCGCACGGGTTCGAGAGGACGAGAGGCAGCAGGTGAACCCGAGGGCCGTGCCCGCAGGCGGGGACGCGGATTGAGGGGGGCCTCGGAAGAGCCAGGGGAGACGAGGCGAGGGCTGGGCTCGCAGGGCTGGCGGAGCGGCGAGCCCAGGCGGTGAGACGGCCGGGGAAGGGGGGGCGGGGAGCCCAGGGGGAGGGAGTTCCGAAAGGAGGGAAAGGAGCGAGCCTGGAAGGGAGAGCGGCGGCGGCCGGCCGAGCTGCGAGCTGGAGGGCGCCCGGCGCGCCCAGACCGTGCCACCCCCCCCTTCGCCCCCGGGGCGCCGAGGGCTCTGCCGGGGAGGCGCACAAAGACATGCGAAGCGGGGCTGAGCGAGGCTCGCGCACAAAGACGCCGGGGCGCACGGCCGCTCGGGCTGCACCCACCGCCCCCGCGCCGCGCCGCGCCGGGGCCGGGCCAGCGCGCAGCCCGGGGCGGAGCGCGCGGCGGCGGCGGCGGCTGCGGGCCGGCGCGGGACCCGGGTCGCCCGCGCTCTCCGGGTGACCCGGGCCCGGCCGCAGGCGCGCGCGGGGGCGGCGGCGCCCCAGCCCAACTTGGCCTCGGCCTCGCCCTCTGCCCGGCCCGCGGGTGTCCCCTCCTTCCCGCGATTCCGTGTCTTCTCACGCTCCCCTCCTCCCTCCCCGCGTCCAGCCCTGGCTCTCCCCACCTTGTAAAACAAAGCCGGGGGAAAAAAATGCCTGCCTGTGCAGCTCGGAGCGCGCAGCCCGTCTCTGAATAAGAAGTGAGTACAATGGCGTGTTGTTTGTAAAAGCTTCAAGTCCGTCTTTAAAAAAAAAAAATTGTGAATGCTGCATGCCTCATGCTTCCCAGCGCCTCGCGGGAGAGAGCCGGCTATAGAGCAGGAGGTGAGACCCCCGGGTACCCCCCTCTTCCCCATCTCCCGCCGCGCGTTTGCCGTCCCAGCCGGTCCCGGGAGGGTTGCAGAAGCCAGCTGGCAGCAGGCGGACGTTTTCCACCTTTCGTTTCCCGTCCTAGGTGTTGGATCCCAGTCTGGGGTTGGAGGCAGATCTATCCCCGGATCCACTCCTGGCTGCTTCTCCTCACTCTCCCGCGGGTGCCTGGGCGTTTTGCATCTGTCTCGGGTATAGGTTTGGGACACTTACGGGAGTTTCCGAAGGAGGAGGGTCAGCTCTTGGGAGTCACCCGACGGGTGACCCTGGTCACACTTGTTGCCCACAGCGCGGTGGCATAGGCAGTGGTACTGAAAAAAGCCCATTTCTCCTGGAATTGACTCGTCAGTTGTGGCCGGGAGCGAAGAAGACAAACGTGGGTGCGGATGAGAGGCTAGGATTAAGCGGAGGCTGTGAGGTGCTGCAGGCAGAGAAGGGAGGGCCTGATGGTGCCAGAGTGTGTGGAAGGGGTGAATCTTTGATTCCTTATTCTAAGGAGCTTCTCTTCATGATCATACATCAAAGGACATGGAGATGGAAACCCAGAGGGTTCCCCATATTAGATCGCGTGGAAAGACTGTTGTTTTTTATTTTGTTGTTTCACCAGGTTCTGCCCATTCTGTCTGCCAAATGTGCATTTTATATATATATTTCTGCTAATTGAAAAAAAAGCAATGACTTAAAAGAATTAAAATACACCAGGAAATATTTTAATAATACACACACTACACACACAGTCTTTAAAAAAAAAAAACAACTCTCCTTTTTCCCCCTAATCATATAAAAATAATATCCTAGTTTGGCATTGCAGTTTAGGATTGGGATTTGGGAGCATCCAGGTAAACGGTCTTGGTGTTTTCCAGTGCTGCAGACCAGAAATCAGTGATGGGGAAAATCAGAAAGATGAGAAGACAGCACAGAGAACTGGGGAGGAAAGTCTTGGACAGCTTCCTTCAGAGAGATAATGTGGAGTTTCTGAGTGATTTTCTGTTATTTTTGTTCCAAAGATGGCTTAATTTTAGACGATGACCTTTATTTTTCACTGAGACTCACTAAGCAGCTTGGAGGTGGGGTGAGGTGGCTAGACAGCAGATGACAGTAATTTCAGCTGTTATCAACATTTCTATTAAAATATTTCAAAAAATTAAAGCCTTGAACACGTGCTGTGCCTTGCTTAGTTGATCAGTCGTGTTGGACTCTGTGGTCTACAGTCCAGACCCCATGGACTGTAGCCATGAAACACATATCCAGTGCTTATTTGGGATGAAGTTTCCTTTATGAATATCACGTGTTAAAAGGTGTCTGCTCATTTGTGGTTTGATTTGGAGCAGATGACTGTATCAGGAGGAAAATGTGTACATATCTGTGCATAGCAGGTTGAACCATTTGAAACTGCTGAGATGACCTGTACTTATGTGGAATCCCCACTTGGAGCCCAGGCTCCAGTTACTTCATCAGAGCGCTGACTTCCCTTCAAAGTCAGAATCCTTCAGAGTTATGCTGATTGAGGAGCGCTCTGTTATCTGCCATCATTACACAACACTCCTCACTTAGGGCTGGCGCTTCACATAGCTTTGTTTGCAAAGCTTCTTTCTGATGGGCAACAGAAGATTTATTTCATGAACTCCCAACTGTGGCAGTCCTACATTTAACTCACAGTGGTAGACAAGAGGGCAGAGTATGTAGTCATGTGAAGATTGACACTCCTTATTCCCTTCTTATTTTCAAGTAATTTCAGGTACCTGTATGATGTTTGGGTGCAGTTGCATAGGTATTTCTTGTGTGCTTACCTAAAAAGTGTTATTCAGATTAGGCTATCATTTTATTAAACACCAAAGTAATTTTGAGCTTCCCTGGTGGTTCAGCAGTAAAGAATCCACCTGCTGCAAGAGACGTGGATTCAGTCCCTGGGTTGGGAAGATCCTCTGGAGAAGGAAATGGCAACCCACTCCAATATTCTTGCCTGGGAAATCCCATGGACAGAGGGGCCTGATGGGCTACAGTCCACGGGGTTGAAAAAAGTCAGCCATGACTTAGCAACTAAACAACAACAACAACAACAAAGTAATTTTCCTTATATCTGTAAGAGTTATGGGTGGTAAATCAATTATTCTGTCAGAGTTAATGATATTTTGAAGTGTCCCATCTTTCAGCCATTCTGTTACCCATTTTGGTTCAGTGTTGCCTTTTCAATCAAATACTCTGTAAATGGCTTATTTTCCCTTTAGCAAGTGGAAGTCTAGTATCTCTTGAATTTTCTAAAAAGAAATCCATTAATGATATTTTGGAATAGCTGAGATAAATAATAAATGGATTTAGAGTCACCTCAGAGTATATGGGAATTTGGAAGAGAACTCATAAATCCACTCTAATGGAGCAATTAGCTTTGTACAGAGCATGTAGGTCTAAGGTGTGAGACAAGGTTTTAATTTTTTTTTTCTTGATAATGTTCACTATTGAAATGGAAAGAACATGTCATCTCTTGGCTGCACCTGTGATTGTGCCAGAATGGGTGACAATACTTTTGTTTTTCTTTTCTCAAGATATCAGAGATTGAATAACAAAATACAGAGAATACTTAATCACGAGCCCACTTTGGACGCGAGCAAAAAGAAATGATAGAACTATTGAGTAGTTTATTTGCTATCACGTTTTACCAGGTATTTACTAATGTTTTACTTCGAGCAACAATGTCTAGAGTGCAAATTCGCTTATAACACAATTCCTTTATTGTAATGGATTTTTAGATAATTTGCTTGTGATATAGAGTATTCTTGAGAACAGGAATAATACATTATGAGCATTCAGATATCTAGTTTAGTACCATCAACTCTTAATAGTTCCTCAAATGTGTTTACTAGCACATTGGACATGTATAAATTTTTAAATTAATTAGGAAGACTGCAGGCATTCTTTTATTCATTTTTTTTTTAAGGTTCTTGGTCCGCCTCCTGTTTTTTTCCTCCTCCTTTGAAACCCCAATAGCAGCAGAGAGCTGAGACCCACCCCCTTCGCCTTGCACCTCATATATGGTCCTGGATGCGACCTCATGGGCACACTTCTGGTTTAGGCTCTGGCGCTCTTACCAGGATAGCGGGCGGAGTCCAGACCACTTTTGCTGACCCCTCTAACCTCCCTTCTCTGTTGTTGGCAGTGGCGGCCCCTGATTTGCTGGATCCTAAGTCTGCTGCTCAGAACTCCAAACCCAGGCTGTCCTTCTCCACCAAACCCACCGTGCTTGCTTCCCGGGTGGAGAGTGACACGACCATCAATGTTATGAAATGGAAGACGGTCTCCACGATTTTCCTGGTGGTTGTCCTCTATCTCATCATCGGCGCCACCGTGTTCAAAGCCTTGGAGCAGCCTCACGAGATTTCCCAGCGTACCACCATCGTGATCCAGAAGCAGACGTTCATTTCCCAACACGCCTGTGTCAACTCAACCGAGCTTGATGAACTCATCCAGGTGAGGTGCCCAGGAGTTGGGTACTCCGTCTTCCCTGCGGGGAGGACAAGTCAGAGGCAGAGGCAGGAGGTCAGCCTTCGGCTCTCCATGTACCCGTGGGGTCCTCTTCCACTTTTCTCCCTAGCCTAGACGTCTTTGGCCACCGTTTCCTTTTCTTGTTACTGTACTGCCTCCCTCTTTTCCTGCCTTTGTCATCTCTTCTCTTCCTTCTCCTTTATTTCTCCTGCCTGCTGCTCCTTCTCACCCCCTTCTGCCCTCGTGTTTCTCTGCTTCTGTCCTTTTGTCACTTCTGTCCTTCTGTCCCTCTCCCTTTTTTCCATTTGCCTTGTCTTGGAACTACCAGTGACCACCTGTGAACGTGGGGTCACCTTGCTGGAGGCCTGCAAGGTGAGAGGACCATTGACAAATGAAGGGAAAATGCGAGGCGGGAAAAGTGCAGTTACTGTGGCACTGGCCACTGTAGGAAAGAAAAGATGGGCTGTGGTCTGACCCGCTTGAGGTGGGTACCCCTCATTGTTAACAAGCTGTAGCTCACTTCTTTAATCTAACCAAAGTATAACTCCAGTAACTGGCTTTTTTAGGTGTCTGGGCAGAAGTAATTAATCACTGCTTCTCTAAACCCCAACTAAAAGCAATTTACTACTAACACAGAAAAATGGAGTTTTTGAATAAAAAGTAATTTAGTTTTAATTTACTCTGTAATGGCAGAGTAGTATCCTTATGGAAAAACTTTTTTTCAAAAAAATGTTAATCCCAAAATGATGTAAAAATTTCAGTTAGACTCCTTGGAGATGGCTATATTTTTGTTGTAGATTTCTTTTGTTTCAAAGAATACATTGGTCCAACCAAGAATCTTGGTCAGGAAGAAAACCCTAGAATTTTATTTCAAGAAGAGATCTGATGGATAGTTGAACACATTTTAACTATATATTCATTTTTCTATGGAGCCTATTTTTCTTACCAGTTTTAAGTCAAATGAGACTGAAAACCATCTGTGAGTCATCAACTGAGCAGCAGCTTCTTCATGTTATGTTTGGTTTTTCACATCATTTGAGTGAGCTGGGATCGTTGATTGAAGGAAGAAATTATTAGTGATTTTTACCCAGTTTTTTGCTTTATGACCTTTCTTCTCATATTCCCTCTTGCCATGGATCCCCAAATGTTACTTCTGTCTTTTATTGCCCTGTTTATAGAATACACACACAAGTTCTCATTCGGGTTTTGTTAAAAGCTATCAAAGCTAGTATGCTCTGATCCTCACCCACCACATTCGGCACTTCTGCACCTCACCTATTGGACTTAAATTTTGTAAAGGTTCTTTAGCCACTAGATACTGAGTTCCCTACTGTTTGTAGATTATGGCACCATTTTCAACACTGGCAATGTACCTGCCAGATAATATTGACACAACCATTCCATTTCCTATTCCTGCATAAGCCCACTTCCACTTCACTTTTGATTTGTGCCTATCATCCGTAGTGGTACTAAAAATCTTTGAAGAATCCCCACTTCCCTGAGTTTTAGAAGAGCTCCTGGTTATTTTGGCAGAGTTGTGGTAAAAAGCTCAACTTTGGGATGGGATAAGATGTTTTAAACTCCATTTGAGTACTTTACTAGAGGTGTTATCTTGAACAAGTAATTTTCCTCTCTAAGCCTTGAAAGATCTATCTAGAATGAAGGAAGAAAAGCGATCAAACGAGTTGCTGTGAGGAGTGAAGAGATAATCCATGTAAGGCATTGAGGCGCTCAAGAAGTGTTAGGTTTGTTTGCTGTTGTTATTTTTCCTTCCCTGCTTATCTTTTAATTGGATGGAAGCATCTGTTTCAGGTAGTAGCATTCTTACCTTCTCCAGAGAGATTTTTTTGTCTTCCGAAGAAAAAGAAAATGTTACATTGTTTTTGGAATAAACACAAATGGAGCTCAGTCTATGACCTAATTTTTTATTTCTTTCTGCTATCCACAGGCAATCCATTTTAGCCTTATTGATATTCCACTGCTGATTGAGTATTTTTGCTTCTTAAAAAAATCTTAAGGATTTTGGTGCTTATTCAGTACTTTTAAATGCAGAGGTTGCCTGTTATTTATTGCCATATCCATCACCTTTCTAACCCTGTGGTTTATTTTTCTCCCTTTGAATATAACTTCTTCTTATCAGAGAAATCTTTGTAATGGCATGGCTCCAAGGGTCAAGATCAGTGTCTCAATAGGGAGGAAAGTGAATGAGCCAGGAATCATATATTAGAATTGCATTTCATTTGTGTGATTCTCATAAATTTCCAAGTGTTTTCCCCATGTTTATTTCCCTTTTACTCCTGCCTTAAAGCCTCAGGAGCAGTCATATTAAGCAGTAATATTGCAGCACTAAGGATTAGGAAACTAAGACACAGACAGCCCCACTGACTGAGTCCGGACAGCATCCTTAAGACCAAAGATCAGGTCTTCAGATCTGGTTTTATTCCTAGGAGTTTGCACCCTTTCATGGCTTTCAGTGCTGAGGGTGAAACAGGCCTAGTGCTGATAGAGGAGGAGTTCTGGATTCTTTTTGTGAAGAGTGGGCAAGGAGGAGGAAGTGGATAGTAGGACAGTATGACCAATGTCAGTTAACCTTAGATTACCTACAGTTAACCTAGTCTTGTTCACTGTTATTGTTCAGTCACTAAGTCACGTCTTGACCAGGCTCCTACCAGGCTCCTCCATCCATGGGATTTTCCAGGCAAGAGTACTGAAGTGGGTTGCCATTGACTTCTCCGCAATTTACATGGGTTTGAGCAAATTCTGGGAGATAGTTAAGGTCAGGGAAGCCTGGCGTGCTGCAGTTCATGGGGTTGCTAAGAGTTGGACACCACTGAGTGGCTTCGCTTTCACTTTTCACTTTCACGCATTGGAGAAGGAAATGGCAACCCACTCCAGTGTTCTTGCCTGGAGAATTCCAGGGATGGGGGAGCCTGGTGGGCTGCCGTCTATGGGATCGCATAGAGTTGAACACGACTGAGGTGACTTAGCAGCAGCATGTCCATTGAGTCAGTGATGCCATCCAACCATCTCATCCCCTGTCATCCACTTCTGCTCCTGCCCTCAATCTTTCCCAGCATCAGGGTCTTTTGCAGTGAGTTGGCTCTTTGCATCAAGTGGCCAAAGTATTGGAGCTTCAGCTTCAGCATCAATCCTTTTAATGAATATTCAGGGTTGATTTCCTTTAGGATTGACTGGTTTGATCTCCTTGCTGTCCAAGAGACTCTCAAGGGTCTTTTCCAACACCACAGTTCAAAAGCATCATTTCTTCGGGGCTCAGCCTTCTTTATGGTTCAACTCTCATATCCATACATGACTACTGGAAAAACCATAGCTCTGACCATATGGACCTTTGTCAGCAAAGTGATGTCTGTGCTCTTTTTTTTTTTTTTGGTATTAATTACACCTCTGAGTGGGCAATTGCAACCTAATTCCACGCTGTGGTTGTGTCACAGGGTAGCCTAGACTTGGGGGCAGGAGGGAGATAGGGAAATGCAGCCCTAAGGCACATGAGAGCAACTTCCTCTTCTCTTTTGATTCCCAACATGTGTGTTCCATCCAAGTGCTGTTTTTGGCACAGGCCCTCTAAGGCAAGATTGAGGTGGCGGCAGAGATATCAAGACAAAGAGATCTTTTCTGGGGTGAAATACTTTGAAAACTTTGACTTTTCAACTTTCTTTACATTTGGTAGTTTGATATGAGTGCAGAAAAATATATGGAAACATCTTTAAATTTCAAGAGTCATGAATACATTAATAATAGCCAAAATAAATGAGCAATTTCTATGTGCAAGGCAATGTTCTAACTCGTTATATGTGTTATCTCCTTTAATTCTCTTAAACAACTCTATGAGGAATGTGCTTTATTATCTATATTTAACTTACCTGAAACTGAGTCAAAAGGAGCTAATTTTCTAAAAGTTAGACTGCAGTGTTATTCAAAGCTAAATGGACAAACTCCAGAGCCTATGCTTTTAGCTCTTGAATTTACTGCCTCTAAAAACAGGTAATATGCATTAAAGTTTGCTGCAAAGTTTTCTTTAATTTTTTTAGTAAAGTGTAATGAATATCAAATTATAGTCCTTTGTATGCAGTGATTTATATTTTATAACATAGCTTTCTCTCCATTTACACAGAGAATATATAACCTGTATTTTAATATTCTTTTTGGACAACACTTCCTGATTTACTCCTGTTTGAATGTTGTGAGCCAGTAGAAGCATCATTATATTAGATATGTGAAAAAAAGTGAAAGTGTTCGTTACCCAGTCGTGTCCTACTCTTTGGGACCCCGTGGACTGTAGCACACCAGGCTTATCTGTCCATGAAATTCTTCAGGCAAGAATACTGGTAAAGATTCTTTACCGTCTGAGCTACAGATTGTTGTTGTTCAGTTGCCAAGTCGTGTCCAACTCTGCTCGATCCCACGGACTGCAGCATGCCAGGTATCCCTGTCCCTCACCATCTCCTAGAGTTTGCCCAGGTTCACATCCATTGAACTGGTGATGCCATCCAACCATCTCATCCTCTGTCACCTTCTTCTCCTTCTGTCTTCACTCTTTCCAAGCATCAGGGTCTTTTGCAATGAGTCGGGTATTTGCATCAGGTGGCCAAAACATTGGAGCTTCAGTTTCAGCATCAGTCTTTCCAGAGAGTATTCAGGTTTGATCTCCTCGCTGTTCAAGGGACTTTTAAGAGTCTGCTCCACCACCACAGCTCGAAAGCATCAATTTTTCAGCACTCAGCCTTCTTTATTGTCCAGCTCTCACATCCATACGTGACTACTGGAAAACTCTTAAATTAGACGTACCTGGTTTTGATCTACTTATTTCCATGTTTGCTGAATCAATTATGAGATTTTAAAAAAAGAGCAAAAATTTTTGATCTATACATTGATATAAAGTATTTCATGAGATATTTGACTTTTGTTTTATCATTTGAGCTCTACCCTCTGTGAGGTAGAAGGTATTCTATCTGCTCTTTGGGTGA